TGAAGGCACAGTGAGTCACTGTCACCAACCACACCCGCCTGTCAGGGACTGCCCACAAGTCCATGCTCTTTTTGCTGCAACCGGATGCCATTCTTGTGCTCTGGGACCCTGGCTGCAGCAATGCCATGTACTTGAGCATGGCTGAGTGTACCTGCAAGGATGTGTCACTGATGGAGGGTTCCTCAGGCTGCCAGCAGCCCATCCCACCTAGCTTCCTGTCCCCAGCGTCATCTGCCAGCTCTGGGAGCCTGAGCCAGTACATGTCCCACCAGCTACGTGGCCTCAGCCCCACCCATGAGGCCAGGCCAGTCATGGCAGCACTGGCTGACAGCAGCTCCAGCTCTTCCCTGTAGGGGGCCCCTGCACAGGCAGCTGGATATTACACCTCTGTGACCTGGGACACTGCCAGGAGCTACACACCTTCAAAGTCATTGGGGACCAACCAGAACTGATGGGCATGCCTGCCCCATCCACCTGTTAAGCCCCACACTAGAGAGGAAGGCCATGCCTCCCCTGTCCCTGCCCCAGGCCCCCTTTCCCTTCCTGGATTGCCCGTGCTTCCCTGGCCCCCAGGTTCCCCCTCCCCACAGCACACAGGAAGGTGGAAGAGAGTGCAAAACTTTATTGAGCAGGTTGTGCCTCCACAGCTAGGGGAACATAGGCCTCTCACACACCAAGGAATGTGTGGATGCCAGCAGAGATGTCCTCATTGGCTGTAGGGGGCAGGGACATGTAGCACAGCAGAGGCTGTGGGGCAGCACAGGCTTGCCTGCTGCACCATCAGAGCTCAGAGTCTCATGCCAGGTGTGCAGATGTGCTTAGGGTACTATGGCCACCAGCAGCAGCAGGGTGTAGTAGGTTGAGCACCCCTCAGTCCATGCAAACAGCTCCTGGCAATGCACCTGGGATACTTGCAGCAGGGGCATGCTTCAGGCAGAATGACCGCATCATGGGGGGCATGGACTCCCCAGAAAGGCTCCCTGCATACAGGGAACATGGAGGTGCCAGCAGCTCTGCATTCCAGTCATCTGGGAGCCCCATATCCACCAAGCCTGGGTGCCATAGGCTTGGCAGTAGCACAAAAAACAGGGGAGTAGCTCTGGATCTGCAGCAGCAGGTGTTGCCAGGAGCCAAGCCTGTCCCTGCTTGATGCCAGCAGCCTACAAGCCCCTAGAGAGCGAGCAGGGACAGGGGGCTTGGCCTGTGACTGCCTGGGCCCTGGTCAACTTATCATGGTCCACGGGCAGTCATGCATGCACAACCCCTGACCTAAGGCCAGACAGCATATGGCCCCCAGTATAGAGCATCGCATCTCAGAAATGTTGCAAACTCTCACAAACAGCCTCTTTCTCATGGCTCTGCAAATCATGCAGCTGCATGCAGGGGAGAGGATCCAGTTGGCAGGCAGGATGGCAGCTCAGGGTCACCACCAGCCTGGGCTGGGGCCCTGCGGATGCACCAGCTCCAGAAGAGGAGGACCCAGGACTGAACCCTCCTGCTGGACCACCTGGTCACAGTGTCCAAGGAGCAGCTGGCAGACTCATGGGCATGGCAGGCAAAGGATGTTGCCTGGCAGGAGACTTGGTGGGAGGAGGACATTGCCCAGGAGGACACCTGGTGGGTGGAGGATGTGGCCTGCAAGGATGCACAGGACCAGGTGGACTGGGAGTTCAGAGTGAGGCTCCTGGTCCTGGAGAAGTGCCACATTGATGTCCTAGAGTGGCAGGCTGTGCTGGTGGAAGTGATGAAGGAGGACCACCAGGTGCTGGACACCATCCAAGCCTTGGTGGTCACCCCCAGCCCCATCTGCCCCCTGGCAGCTACCCGCTGCCCAGCAGCAACCCCTCTCCTCCTCCCGCCAGGCTTCACAAAACAGCTCCCCCTGGGCCTCGCAGATATTATGCAGTACACAGGCTGCAATGATGATCCCTGGAATGTTGGCCTCAGTGACCTCCAGGTGGGTGGTGAGGGTGTGCCAGCATCCCTTCAGGCAGCCAAAGGCACATTCCACCAGGATGCAGGCCTGGCCCAGCCACCAGTTGAAGTGGGTCTGGCAGGGGTCCAGCTGGCTGGCATGGTGCCACATAAGCCAGGGGAGGAACAGGCAGGCAAGGTCCTCGATGAGGAGGGGTGGGACCACCATCATACCTAGCTGAAGGTCTGGAACCCCCAGCACAAAGCGCCTGCTCTGCACCAGCGCTGGCAGGTAGGAGTTCTAAATCACATGGTCATTGTGGGCTGTGCCCGCCCAGTTGGCACTCATGTTCATGACAGCACCACAGTGGTTGACAATGGCCTGGAGCACAACAGAGTGGAAGCCCTGCCGACTGTAGTATGGGTAGTTGCCATAGGGAGGGTAGGTGATGGGGATGTGTGTCTTGTCCAGTGCCAAGATGCATTGGGGGAAGTCCAGAGCATGGAACCCCACCACCACCTCCAGGGGGTTGTGCACACAGAGCACCATGTGTCCCAGCATGCCCTGGAGGGCACCACACACTTCCAGGATGGCCTTCCAGGCACCAGCCTTGACCATGCCAAAGAGGTGGCCAATGTAATGGAGGCTGGTAGGCAGGGGCAACTGGGGTGGCGCGCCTGATCACTGACGGCGGGTGGTCCCCAGCAGCCGATTGCCGAGCCAGTGGCAAAACCGGAAGTGCATTTCTGGTCCATGGCTGGTACTTCCAGGGGGTGCACAGCTGATCTCAGTGGGTGCACATAGGTGCAAGACCCCCTATGCATCACCAATGTTGACAGCTCTGGCCAGCTTGAACAGTGCAATGGTCAGTTGGGAAGTGCAGTCATGTGGTGGTGTCCTGCCATTCCAGGTGTGGACGGAGCTGCTCCAGGAGGTCCAGGAAGGTTGTCTGGGTCATCTGGAATGCTTCCAGCCACTGCTTGTCATCCCAGGTGGTCTGGATAATGTGCAGGCACCAGTCCTGGCTGGCTGGGCAAGCTGAGAGGTGTCATGAACAGTGCAATGGTCAGTTGGGAAGTGCAGTCATGTGGTGGTGTCCTGCCATTCCAGGTGTGGACGGAGCTGCTCCAGGAGGTCCAGGAAGGTTGTCTGGGTCATCTGGAATGCTTCCAGCCACTGCTTGTCATCCCAGGTGGTCTGGATAATGTGCAGGCACCAGTCCTGGCTGGCTGGGCAAGCTGAGAGGTGTCAAAGGGGGAGGGGCCGGGGGGCGTGGATGGCCCCAGCAGTGGTGTCATAGTCAGGAGGGTGTGGATGGCCCCAGCAG